GGTGTTTGCATTAAAGATTTGGAGGCATTATCTTTATGGTGTGCCTTGTGAGGTATTCACAGATCATCGTAGTCTCCAATATATATTCAATCAGAGGGATCTAAATTTGAGGCAGATGAGATGGTTGGAGTTGCTCAAAGACTACGATATGACTATTCTTTATCACCCAGGCAAAGCAAATGTTGTAGCAGATGCCTTGAGTCGGAAGGAGGTAAGTATGGGTAGTCTAGCCACGTTACAGGTTGGCGAGCGTCCTTTAGCTAAGGATGTCCATTCCCTGGCTAATAGCTTTGTGAGACTTGATATTTCAGAATCTGGTAAGGTGTTGGCTTATATGGAGGCTAGGTCATCCTATTTGGAGCATATTCGGGCTCAACAGTTTGATGATGGTGATTTATGTAAGATTAGGGACAAGGTTTTAAAAGGAGAAGCCAAGGCTGCACTTCTTGATAGTGAGGGAGTTTTGAGGATTAAGGGTCGTATATGTGTTCCCCGTACAGGTGATTTGACTAGATTGATCATGGAGGAGGATCATATTTCGAGGTACTCTATTCATCCGGGGGCTACTAAGATGTATCGTGACTTGAAGCAACACTATTGGTGGTGTCGTATGAAGAGGGACATAGTAGATTTTGTATCTCGATGTATGAATTGTCAGCAAGTGAAGTATGAACACCAAAAGCCTGGAGGTATGACTCAGAAGATGCCCATACCTGAGTGGAAGTGGGAGCGCATTGATATGGACTTTGTGGTTGGGTTGCCATGTACCTTGGGTAAGTTTGATGCTATATGGGTCATCGTGGATCGACTGACTAAGTCTGCACACTTTGTACCAGTTCAGACTACCTATAACTGAGAGAAGTTAGCCAAGATCTATATTCAAGAGATAGTTCGTTTTCATGGGGTTCCTATATCTATTATTTCAGATCGTGGCACCCAATTTACATCTCATTTCTGGCGGTCTATGCAGCAAGATTTGGGCACTCGGGTGGATCTTAGTACAACCTTTCACCCTCAGACTGATGGTCAATCTGAGTGGACTATTCAGGTCCTTGAGGGTATGTTGCGGGCGTGTGTGATTGACTTTGGTGGTCAGTGGGACCAGCTCTTGCCTCTAGCGGAGTTTACTTACAATAATAGTTATCACTCGAGCATTAAGATGGAACCATTTGAGGCTCTGTATTGCAGGAGATGTCGATCTTCAGTTGGCTGGTTTGATGCATTTGAGGTTAGATCATGGGGTACAGATTTGTTGAGGGAGTCCTTGGACAAGGTCAAGTTGATCCAAGATAGACTTCTCATGGCTCAGAGTAGGCAAAAGAGTTATGCAGATCGAAAGATTCGTGATTTAGAGTTTATGGTTGGAGAAAGGGTTTTATTGAAGGTTTCACCCATGAAGGGTGTGATGAGGTTTGGAAAGAAGGTCAAGTTGAGCCCAAGGTATATTGGTCCTTTCGAGAATGTTGAGCGTATTGGTGAGGTGGCGTATCAGTTGGCTTTGCCACCTGGTTTGTCAAGTGTTCATCCTATATTTCATATTTCAATGCTTAAGAAGCATCATCAGGGTGGTGATCATGTGATTCAATGGGATTCAATGTTGCTTGATCAGAATTTGACTTTTGAGGAAGAGCCAATCACCATTTAGGATAGGCAAATTCAGAAGCTAAGGTCCAAGGAGATTGCTTCAATGAAGGGTCAGTGGAAGCATCGTCCAGTGGAGGAGGCTACATGGGAGACAGAGTCAGACATGAGGAGTAAATATCCTCATCCTTTTAAGCGTTCAAGTTAGCTCTTTTCTTTTCCCGTTCGAGGACGAACATTTGTTTAAGTGGTAGGTGATGTAACGACCCGCTAGGTCATTTTGAGAACTAGGACTAGTTTGACTCCTTTTGAAAATTTAAAGGGGTATTTTTAAACTATTAGATAACTATGAGTTGATGAAACTGTTATTAAATAAATAATTAGATAATAGGTTAGTGGAGTTTCACGGTTAATAATTTCTTATTTAGAAGAAAAAGAAAACGAAAAGTGGTGGAGGCGAAACCTTACCACAGGCGACCAGCGAGAGGGAGAAAAATCGTAGCCATTGTTCAGGTAAAGATATGAGATAATCGTTCTTTTCAATTCTATATATAGTAATATATTGTCGGAGTGCTTGGGATTGTGTTATTATTTTATGTTATATTGATAATGGGTGATAAGAAATAATGGGTAAGTTGGTGATGATTACTAAATTATATTATATTGTTAGCAATTAGGTTAGTATTCGTAAAAAAAAAAATCGATCGAAGTCGAATAGTTGAATGGCTGCAGGTTAATGTTTTCTGGGATTTTTGTCAAAAAAATTTATTATATATATTGTTAGTTTCAGAATGGTAGGAATAAGATTGAGCCAATCATTGGACAATCATTGTCAATGATTGTCAATGATTGGAATTTGATAAATATTTTAGGGAATTGGCACTTGTTTACATATGGGTTTCTGCAAAAAAAATAATAATAATAGATTTTTAATTGGAAATTTAATGGTGGAAGTTTTTCTTGTGTTTGAATTATTTAGTGGTGGGAGATAAGAGTGGATGCCAATCATTGGGCAAACATATGCCAATGATTGGCAATCGAAGATGTTTGAATTGGCAGTGCAGAATGAAGAAAAAAAAAAGAAAAGGGGGAGGGGCGTTCCACTGTTCTGCCAACGGGTGGAATTTGGTTCATGTTTTATTCATATATTAAAATGCTAGTTTTTAATATATTGAGATAGGTAATTAATTATTGGGTATATATTATATGGTTTAATATTAAATTCTAGGGTATTTAAGTGATTAAGGTTAAATTCTTGGCTTGAAATTCGACAAATATGATAAATTTTGGCATATAAATTATATCAAAATTTGGGGTTTGATTAGAGATATGAGTGAGTTTTAGGGTCTATGCTATACTTATAATAATTTGAATGTCCAAAAACTCGCTCACCTACGAATATTGCATCATTGGTAGATCGTGAGCATTCCGAAACTTTGCGAAAAGGGAAGGAACTATCTTGAAGATTTGTGGCACGAGTTTCGGCTCTTAAGGTATGTTAAGACTTTTACACTTGTTGAAGGATGTTTTTCCTAATTTAAGATTAAAAAAAATAGACAAAGGGGTAAGGGCGAAAGATGGGGGTCTCGTATCAATGGTGTGACGGGCATTGGTACGAGTATCGGTGTTATAAAACGGAAAGTTACTACTATATAATGCGGATCGTAATTTGAGAATTTCCAAAGCATATGGACATTAGCTGATATATTATTGACTTGAAATTTTGTGTGATTGTGTTTTCTTTATTACACCCGTATAGTTGTGATAATTGAGGTGGTTATGTATTATGTTGATATTGATTGAGTGAGATGCATCATTATCCCCTTATATTGAAATAATATTGTATACATGCATTGACATGAGATTGAGTATAAGTTGGGCACGTGGAGATCGTCACTGCTAGGGATGGTGAGATGTTAAGATTGTAATTTGGGCACGTGGACACCGTCCGTGTGAAAATTGTTTGATATTATGATAGTGCGTTGAGATCGTCCGCACAGACACGTGGAGATCGTCTGTGTCGGTATATGGACCTCGCGAGTCCCCCATGGTTCATGAACTTTCGATGTATTTCCGAGGAGTATCATGTATATACGGTTGTGTGAGTACTGGGTATTCTGAGACATATCATTACATGATATCATATTGCATTGCATTTCATCCCACCATTCATTCTTGATGATTATATGTTTCGTTAGGTGTTTGGAAAATACTTAAAGTTCATTTCCTTTATTGATGAAACTTAAATAGTAAGTGTAATATAAATATATATATACTTGTATAATTTAAGAATTTATTTTCTTATATAATTACCGTCACTACTTCTTCGTTGTCGGTCAGTGGGACATACTGGGTACACGTGATTTCATACTCATACTACACTTGTTGCACTCTTTGTGGTGCAGATTCGATTCCGAGTAGGAGCACATCTCGTGGAGCAAATTGAGTCCAAGCTTGAAGTTCTTGGAGTTGTGGTGAGCTGCTTCGCTGTTCCGTGGCCTACACCTCCCTCTATCTTTTATTTATTCTGTTATTAGTATTCAGACAGGATATACCTTATGTTAGATTTGTCATTTAGTTTCAGACTTGCATCGAATTTTAGAAGCTCTTGTACTTAAGACACCAATTCTTAGGGTGATATATTTTAGCTTCCGTATTTCGTACTTATAAAGAACTCAATGTTGGAGATTCTTGCTAAGTGTTAGTCTTTTTACTCATTTGTTGGTTTAGTTGGGTTAATATGTTGGGTTGGCTTACCTATTGGTTGGGAACATAGGTGTCATCATGACTTGCATACTTGGGTCGTGACAGTGTGGTTGTGTGGCTTGGTTGTGTGTTTTGTGAGTGGTCTGAAATTTTGAGTCCGTGGAATTTATAATCTTGAACCCTATCTATCGAAGTGATGCCTTGAATAAAGAAGGCACAATGAAATATTATTAACGAATGGAAGAGTGGTGATATTAAATGATAAATTAATGATATTCTTGGATCAGAGTATTACGTTCCGACATGGTATTTTGAATCGAAGTGTCACGTTCCGACACAGTTTTTTGGATCGGAGTGTCACGTTCTGACACATTATTCTTGGATCAGAGTGTCACATTCCGACATGTTATTCTTGGATCGGAGTGTCACATTCTGACACTGTAATATTAAAGGAAAAACATGTTGAATTAATGAAAGGTACTCAATCTCATAGAACTCAACTCCCAAAATGGTTTGGTTTGGAGGCATGAGTCCTCATGTGTGATCTTGATATCATTGACTGATTACGAACTTACTTTAATGTTGTTGATACTTTTTCATGTTGTTTGTCGTTTGTCACCTGTTAAGTGCTATAGTTGAGTTCATACTATTATTTGTTGTATATTAGTTCCTATTTTGGGTTGGCCGATGATAGCTACTTAGTACATGTTGCCCCTGTACTGAGTCCTACTTGTGTTTTTTTTATTTTCCTTTTATGAAAATGCAGCGAATGTACCTATGACTTCAGATTTCCCTCAGCTCTAGCCAGCCTCCCGCATATCATGTTTTAGGGTGAGCTATTCATTCAAGCTCGTGTTGGATTCTCTCGGTCATGACATATTGTCCTATACTTTCGGACACATATCATTTTATTCTTTTATTTAGGTTATTTGATATTCTTAGACCTAGTATTGGAGATTAGATGTCCTTCATGTGATGACTTTTAGGTTTTGAGAAATGATATTTAGTAACATTTGAGTTTCCGCGTTATGCTTGTATTTTGTAAGTTAGGTTAAATTGGTTAGTTCACCCACTTAGGAGGTTAAATGTGGGTGTCACTCACGACGCATTTTGGATCGTGACAAACTTGATATCAGAGCGTTAGGTTCGGTGATCTCATCACACAAGAACATGTCTAGTAGAGTCTTGTGAAACAGTATGGGGACGCCTTTACATTTCTTCGAGAGGCTATGTGACTTTAGGAAACTTATTTCTTTCTTTCTTTCGTGCTACTACTTGAATCCGATTAGTATCTAGGTGATACAAATTGGTATCTATTCTTCTTCACTCTATTTCGCATATGATTAGTATAGAGTTGTAGAATTGAAACACCAACATCAGCAAGAAAGTATGCATCCTTAAAAATAGATATGTTTCCAAGGTCACTACAAACATGTAATTACTAGTGACTAGTATGATCTTTTTATTAAGTTCTTAAAGTTGAAATCACTATTGTTCATGGGTACTTAAAATGAAGATGCTTATGATTTGCTTAATGTTTGTCGTGAAAGTTGTTTCCTAAGATGGATATGGTAGAGTGATGGGACATTGAGTTTCTGACTTACTAATTCTGGAGAGATGCGAAAATGTGAAAACAGTCTCATGTTGAGTCTTGCCGGTGATGACACTACCTATGACTTGTGTAGCATTTTCTGACTTTTTCATGGCGAAGTACATTTTATGGATCTTAATGGATATGAGGTAGATGGGGTGAAGCAAGATAACTTTGCCAAGGTGACAACATTCAAAAAGTTCTTAAGGGACGACTAGATAATGAATATTATAACTTTGAAAAATATAGTAAAGTTCTCATAATAATATGGATTGCTTAGTGAATAATGAAATTTTGTTGAGTCAATTGAGGGCAGAATCTCTACTACGATTTTACATATTAAGTGTGTATAAAAAAAGAGTCATAATACGACTACTACATTAATATCGATAGTTACTTGGTTAAAGTTATATGTGTGTTATTTTGTCATCGATTGTCAAGTGTGAACATTTAACTACTTGAGAAGTAATTGGTGGTGTGACATCTTTAGGTAATGAGATTTTGTGTTGCTTTCACATTTGAGAAACCAACTAGTTTATTACATAGCATTTGGACTGCATTAATTTTTTTAGAATATTTTAGTGGTGGATTTTTGGTATAATACTAATATATTTAGGTTGTGAAATGTATCGTGAGGGTTCTGAATGAGGACTGACGATTTTATCTTAAGCTTCAAAAGGTATATTGATAGTAGGATGACAAGTCCTATTGAGTATAATTGGGTGAACTAAATTGAAGATTTTAGTAAGAAAATGCCTATAAAATTGAGTTAGTCCATTAAATTTGATTGGTATACCTGAGATTAAGGTGTCATGTCGAGAAAAAAATTCACTTATTGATGATGAAAAGGTCTAGCTAAGCATGAGATGGTAAAAAGAGAAAAGTGATATATGACCTATATGACTTATGTTTGTTGTACTAGTATCGAAAATTCTCATTTAGAATCAATTTTAGTGGAAACAAAGTCGTAAAAGTGCTTCACCGGTTATAATATCAAATTTAGTATTTGCTTAAGAGTTGGACACTAGGCCTAATCCTACTAGAAAAAGGATTGAAATTATTCTCTTTATTTGATTTCCAATTCTATTAAGAAAAGAATTGGAATTGTAATATTAGTTGTAGTTGATTTTGACTTTGTAAAGAAAAGCACAACTGTGTAAATAGAGGATGGTCTTGAGAAAAAAATTGAACTACTCATTAGTATTTTCCTTGAAAGACATTAGGACATAAGAGAGGTTTTGAGAAGCTTTCAACAAGAGAGAAGAGAGAAGAAAGAAGAGAGAAGGAAAAGATTTATTTTGTTGCATACATGTTCTCCAACCAGCAACCTTCAGATCGTGTTTCTCAATTAATTGACCATTGGATCAGGCTAAAATTTGAACTACGTTTTCCTGACATCTTGGTGGTTGATTTGAACAGTGGAGATTGGATTCAGATGTCGTCAAGATAATTTTTTTGTCTCAAACAGTAGCTGCGTTTGGATGGTGCTTGCATTAAAATTGTAGAGGCATTGTATTTATAGTGTGTATTATGAGGTGTTTTAGTATAATATTTAATAAGAGAAATCTTAATTTAAGACAATGGAGATATTAGAGTCATTTAGTTTGTTACTTTTAATTTTTAAAGACCACGAGGAAAGGTTTCACTTAATAGTGTTGGTTTACAATATAAGGTAAAATGTCATGGGTTATTAGTAAAAGGATGGAATCGGTACGCGATCTAGAGAAATTAACAAGAGTCTTGTAAAGGAAAGGTCGAGAGTAAAATTTTGCACCATGGGAAGAATTTTAGAAAAGTGAGGGAATAAGACGTCTCGTATAAATCTTTGTGGTGTAATTGAATGTTGTTTTAATTTTGCCTACGAGTTTAAATATGACTGCGATGTGAACTTGTTCGATTCATACTTACTAGGAGTTTATCATTTACTTTTATAAATATTGAGTTTTAATTTGGATGACAAATAGTGAGCTATGAAAAATTAGAATTTTACGTGGCATTAGATTTCTCAAGTTATGATAGATGTCCTAAGAATGTCATAATGCGCTATATACACATTTTATGGTGAATAAAGGTTATGAGCTTACAGTATACAAAATAATTTGAGTGACCAAGAATTTCCCTAAGTATTGGCATGAGGTATGTGATTGCGTGAAATGATAGCTAAAGCATGGTATGTGAAAGTGGTGGGAAGTTGACTTTAAGTGTGATTTAATGATTTTATCTCGATGAAATTTTTGTAACTGACTGTTATGTTCTTTTCTTTTCTTTTTTTTTTAAAAAAAGTAGTTTTTTTTTTATAAATAAAAAACAAAGAAAAACATTTCACTATATATTTTTTTAAAATTATGCAAGTTTTGGTTTCTTTTCGCTTAACAATTTTTATTTTTTATTATTATTGTATTTTTTTTAATTCTGTACATTTTGTTCCATTTTTACTTTAACATTTTTTTTCCTTTTATGCTTCTTTTCCTAATTCAATTTTTTTCTCCTTCTTGTACAATTCTTATCATTCATTTATTTTGTTTTTTCCGACAATAAATCTCTAAATAAAATGTGTACCTTTTCTAAAATATACACTTAACAATCTAAATTAAAGTGATAGTCATCCTATTTTTAATCTAAACGCAAACTACTTAATCCAAAGTAAATGAAGTAAAAAGGACTAAACATATGTTACGCGGCTTTTCTAATTCACGAATGAATTAATTTCTTGATCAATATAATTTTATCCAATTAATTAACTTTTCGAAGACAGATAATCCATCGTAGAATTATTATAACTAAAACAAGAAAGACAAATTATATTGTTGAACTAAACACTAAAATATATTTTAGGAAAAATGAAAGAAAACTAAAGATTAAAATAAAATGTTAACAAAGTACTGTAATGTGGCTAACCAAATGTTAGCTACTATATATATATACACAAATCTTCTTTAAAATTAATGATATAAAATTCTTAACATGTTCCATATCATAATGTCAAAATTAACGCATATAAATTTGAGCAACTTCATGACATTGGAATCACATATTTATATAGGCATGAAAATCAAATTATATAATAAAAATTAAATGATA